TTCGTTGATCTTGCCCAATGTTGTTCGATACCCGTTTTCTTTCAAAGGAATAGTGAAATTAAAGCTGTTACTCTTGTCAAAAAAGTGGCAGGCGGTTTATGAACAACATTTTTCCTAGTTTGCAAAATTCTTGCTGTAAAAGACCGAAACGTAGGCTTAAAAGACTCATGGTTTGCACTCTTCATGATGAAATGAAAAGCGCAGGGAGTAAACACCTGTTAGCAAATCGTGAAACGAGCATGATATCGTAATATTCATGGAGTCGTAACTAGTTAAGCAGGACAGAATATGATGATAGACGTTCACAGGGAACCTCTGAATATCGAGTTTTTACCTCATTCAAGAAGTCCACCATTGAAGCATGCAGCTGAGAGTCACCTTTCATGTTCCTTCACCAAAGTAATGTTTATGATTACCACGACATTGATCATGTTGTGTGCCCTCCGAGCAGACGGTGGCTTTAACAACGCTGAACTGCGAATGAAATTTTTAGCGAGCAGTTTGCGCTCATTCTGAACAGAGAATCAATCGAGCACTCTGCTTTGAGCTTGCAGCTGCCTGATCGCCAAATACTGGTCAAACTAGGATCTACTATTTTTTTATGCAGAGCAGAAATCTGCTTCGGCAATGAAGAACTCATATTCGGCTTCTGCCATTGTACAAGTCGCACCACAAAGCGACCAGCGGATCTGAAGATCCCGTGTAGGTAGTATCTTAACCCAGTGAGGCAAATCGTCGCCTGGAAGACTAGTCTCCTTCGTTGATTACAAGATGTGGGAAATGCGCACTTTCCCGATGTCGAGCACTATGTCACGTGACCAGAACTGTTTTTGAATACAGCATATTTGTTTTAGCTGTTTTACAGTCTATTCTAATGTAAGCCTGTAAAATATGTTCATTTAAAGTGATTTTTGAGGTTGCCTTTACGATCTTTCAGGTTATAAATGAATTAACGATATATTCATTTTGGGCATCTATCCAGAGTGCCTGGGTTTGTGGTACATTCCTGACAGTGCAAATTAGTTGCTTTAATAAACAATTCAACATTTTATATCCGCTTAGATTCCCTACGAAAGAGTCCCTGCATATTTGTATGAACAGTGAAAGATCTATAATCTGATTCCTTTTCTCTTCACTCATATCCAGCTTAAAATTTACGCCGGTGCCACCGAAAACCTGACTAGTTTTCATTAGAATAATTTTGACTATTATGCTTATTTGTGGGTAGCTGTTTGCAGTTTTTCTGTACTTTGTCATATTAATTACATTATATTTGTCATATGATCATTTGTCATTATAATGTTTGGTAATCATTTTTGAAATCCCTGATTGTGGCTTCTGTGTCTAAAGCCGAAACTTGGGCGTGAGGTAAATGATCACTACTTCCTCAAATGGTATTGTTAAATGTTGCGTTTTGTTAGCACTGACCAATAATATATGCTTAATTTGTTTTTAAGAACAAGATCAAAGGTTACATATCGCATGAACATCAGAAATTAGTCATTAGCCGCAAGAATCCTTTCCCGTCGTTATCTAAACCTAAATGATGGTAATTGTCAATGAACGGAAGATGCTCATTCGCTTTCATATACATTGTTATAATATTAATTGAAAATCACGTTCTATTGCTTATTTGTATAGTGTAGAAACGATCGTTCTTTGTTAAATAAAAATGTACGATTTACTGAAAATGACCATGTGGCAGCCTTTCAAAATCTACTATTGTCTTCTCAACGTCGCAACCCACACGCGCACTCTGGTTGATCGGAAAGCGACCATCGACTGTAGATTAAACAAGTGATAAATAGACATGCGTCAGAACTGAATTTGACATGATCTGTTAGCCTTATAGCGGATTAATTACAACTAAAAATTGCTACTGCACAAAATGGAGTAAACCGAATATATTGTGATAATGCAAACGGCTCAAAATCAGTTTTGATCATGAATGAAAGTCAGTTATCAAGTAAAAAAATATTGCAGTGAGTGTGGATCAGAACTACACTAACTGTTGCATTCATTTGAATCGTAAAGAGCTGTAATGAATTCGGAAGCAATCTCTCTGAATGACTATAATTTTTGCAAAGTGAAAGGTATGAACAAAGCAGGTCTATGCTTTCGCAGTCTCTAACAAATCCCTTAGCATAAGCATCGAAGTATCTTACTAAGGAAAGTTTGACAAGGAGGAATGACAACTGGATTATACGCGAATGGGATGGCGAAAAATTGCCTATTCTTGTGATGCTTAAGTATACATAACTGTAATTGTTTTCTATTATAAATAATTCGATGTTGGACTTTCTCTTGATAGTCAAACAGCAAGATGTAAGCGAAATGCAAAAGTTTAATAAGCTGTCAGTGGGTAAACATCCAGGCTAGAAAATATGCTTTCTGATTTTGATATTGCGTGTCATCGGACTATGAAGCTGCCATACACATTGTTAGCGGAAATCTATAACAAACACGTTGTTAGCGTTTAGTACTAAAAACACGGCATAAATATTTGATTCATTTCTGCCGCACAAGAAAAAACATGGAACAACGCTATTCTGGCTTTCAGTAGATCCTAGCTCAGCACCAACATCCCTGAGAATGAGTGTCGATCAAGGCAATGAATCGTGTTTCGGAGCGACGTACGATGGTCATTTTAATTAGTTGCCTTTTAAACGCTCAACTAGCAAAGTAATGGCGGTTAGAGGTCGCCTGATCCTTTCGCGCCCTTAAAGCGAATCTACCTAGCAGAAATAAATCAGGTTACAAATCTATGAGGAAAAACTGGTCCACCATTCGCATCGATACCCAAAAGGAAACGTGTCAAACGTCGTACATGTCGCTTACCTTCTGAACAGCGGACGACGTAGTCAGGATTAGAACGAGAAAAGATTCAGACAACCTTGAGGTGAATGCTATGGGTTACCACGAGAACATCATACGTTCCACTTAAGTTGCCAGCGGAGGAAATGTACAGGAGCGTTTTCAGAGTTTGTACTTAATACCGTACTCTCCGAACGAGCAGCGATGATTACTGCACAGGTTACGCTGATCCAATCAATGCGCCCTTATTAACGCCGTCGTACTTACCATGAGCGTCTAACTACGAACGCGCTTGTACGGATTAGAGCCTTATATTCATATCGTTTCTCTGTGCTGATCGCCATAAAAGTTTTGCTTCGCTTTAGACTTGCCCTCTGAATGAGGGGTGACGATTCTTTGGCAGGATTGGAAAACGGGATGATGGATCATATCGATGAACAGGGAATTGTCTCACGCTAGGGAAATCCGGCGTAGTAACATTGTTTCAAATTTGTACGTCGCGCCATCCTACACCTGGAGCGGAAAATTACTTTTTTCATTCGTACCTTTCACCGTCAGGTCAGTCAGTACTAATATACGGTATGAAAACCGCCTTTCTTACAAAAGCTCCAGAACAGCTGTTTAACAGCTTATAGCAGCGGTCTTCGACGCCCTATTGAGACTTAAATGACACGACCCATGCGAGGAATGACTCCTGCTGTCCGGACCGTTTATGGGAAACTTCAACGTCGGTGTCAGACCATCAGGTTGAGCATAAACCGTTCATTTCGGGCCGTGTGTGCTATTCAGCACGTGGTACATGTCAATCAATCGAGCTACGTGCATCGTCGATTATTAACACGTGGATAGATTTGTGAGGGGAATTGTTCCTTGCGCATGTGCACGCGCAGAGGCTACTTAGTGCCCTTTGAGAGACGCTGATAAGTTGAGAATACGACGGGTGTCGTAAAGCCGAGTTGTTGTTGTGCAGCTGGAAACGTCCTTGGGGAAAATTCACAACAAACTTTAAATGTAACTTATATTAGTACGCTGTGAGCGTGCTAAGCATTACCGACGAGTGATAGGGAACATTACCTCTGTTCAGAGGACCTGCTGTGCGAAAGCCAGTTGCGGTTATTGAATTGTGAGTCGCGCCCATTCTCAGTAACGCAACCTCACCGCTCATGCTGATCAGCTGTCACGGCGCTGCGGAACAACGACTGGGAAGCAGTATCGGACAAGCAGGAATGGAAGCGATCTGCACTTTTCTGCCCTCAGCTCTTTGTGTGATTTTACCACCGGCAGTCTAGCCGTCGAAAGGCAGTACACTTGCGACGCTCGTGATCGAAATTCAGAAAGTAGCTGATCAGATGAAAGGAAGCAATGCTTAAGAAAAAGATCGACTGAAAATTCAAACCATAAGGGCAAGCGATCAAAAACTGTTGCTCAGATGATCAGTCATTTGCTGGAAACATAAAACTGCATCGAGGGATAGGAATCAGTTATAAGTGTGACATACAAAAAGGGAGACCGTGAGGTAACGAAAAACTATTTTCCAATATGTCCGCCTTCACAGGTCAAAAAGCTGTTCACAAAGGTCACTCGTTATGGGCGCCTAGTCAGCTGGAAATAAAAGGCTAATCAAAAGAATGTTCTCCATCCACCTCGTTGATGAGCTAGGAATCGAAACCCTAGTGCAAGTAGTTCAAGTTTCGATATTTCTTTTGGTTGATGGTCCCTTTTATACTCTGTCTGCGTAGAACAAAAAAGTTGTAAAGCAGCCACGTTGTTCCAGTGTGTGCCTGTCTGGGATTCAGAGGTAGCCATCAACGTCCATGAAG